TGAAGACTACACTTATTTGTGGTTATACGAACAATGTTAGCAGGGCATGGTGGCGCGTGCCTTTAATCCCAGGACTCAGGATGCAGTCAGATTTCTGTGACTCTGAGGCCAGCCTTGTGTACAAAGTAAGTTCCAGGAGAGCCATGGCTGTTACAAAGAGAAACCCTGTCTCGAAAAACAAAACAAAACAAAAAATGAAAACAAAAGAATACTGCTTGTAGTTTGTTAGAGAACATGCTGGCTTAGTAAATGAGTGGCAGGAGATTCTTCTCCACCAACCGTGACTTCTCCAGTGCTGAGCAGTTACCTAGGTTTCCTGTACCAGGCGTGGTTTCCCACTTGTCAAGCAGGTCTTATCTTTGCAACAAATGGAGACCACTATCCAAAACCATGACCAATAAAAATGCAGAGTTATGGATCCTGATCCCAATGGATACATCTACAAAACTATTCTGCACCCAAGGCTCAGGGAACATTGTAAAACAGGGTAGGGGCCAGAAAGTTTATAGAGCTAAAGGACCAGGAAGTTTGCTGTGAGATTGTGTCTCGTAGTAATATCAGTAATATTACACCCCTAGAGTCTCACCAATATGACTGCCCAGTTTGAGCTGCACAAAGGACAATATGAGTGGACATGCCAAATTGGATGGAGAAAAGTCCATGAGGCCTCAATCCTATACAAAGAACCTTAGGCAACTGAGTGAAGCTGGGAATGGGAGAGGTCTTTCCCAGGGAAAGTAGATAAATCGGTTGTCCAGTGCCAAACCCTGAGTTCTGAAAACATATATAAAAGTAACATTATATGGACTTAACAAGGTATAGTTAGAAATATCTATGTATATACATATATACCTACAATAACAATTAATGAAAATCTGAAGGAGATTGGAGAAGGGTATATGGGACAGTTTGAAGGGAGGAAAGGGTAGGGAGAAATGTTACTATATCATCATAATCTCAAAAATAAAATAAAATAAATTAACAAAGCTTTAAAAAAAGATGAAGATTGTTTTGGTTCATGTTTACATAATTATGGAGAAGAATATAATTCCAGAGACTCAGAAAACAGTGGGTGTGGGAGTTGGGTATGTCATTTTCTGCTTTACGGTATGTGAGAACATGGAAGGCACAACTGAGGTGATTGTGATCCGGTGTCTTGTGAAAATGTAGCTGTGCTTTGGTGTGTTTACCTCTGCTACATTGAACGTTAATCCAAATAACTGAAGAATCAGAGCAGATGAAGGAAAACCGGTTTTCTTGCTTTAAACTCATCTTTTGGGTCACTTCCTTAGTGGCAAGGGTAGAGCTCATGGGGGTCTCAGGTCAAAGGAAAGGATTGAGATTATAGGAAAGAAGCCTGGAACAATATTAGATATTGGAACATCGAGGCCACTTTCTTTGATTAAATAAGAAAAAGTCTGTAATAAAGCTTTTATAGAATCTTATTGCCAAGAACTGATGATAAGTGTGCAGAAAGAACATCCAGTAAGATTAAATTACTGGCCATGTGCCTTCAGGAATGGCTACCAGAGGCATACGTTTGCTATTCTCTCTCTCTCTCTCTCTCTTCAAGACTGAGTTTCTCTGTATAGCTTTGAGCCTTTCCTGGAACTCACTTGGTAGCCCAGGCTGGCCTCGAACTCACAGAGATCCACCTGGACTCTGCCTCCCGAGTGCTGGGATTAAAGGCGTGCGCCACCACTGCCCGGCTGCTATTCTCTTTTTATATAAAGTAGTGTGTAAGTTACTGAAGTGTCACTCCCAGAAGATCTCAATTTGAGCCACATCAGTGGTTTCTAATAAACATGTGGAGGTGTTTAATCAGAACACATTAGGCAGGTTTACTTTTCCATATTTTTAGTTATACTGTGTGGGAAATACAGTGCAACTGTCTTTTTTTTAAATTTCACCAAATATTATTTAGCTAATTTCTTGAATGTGCTTGGTAATTTTGTATATTATTTCCACTTGCTTTTAACCTCTTTCTTCCACCCAAAATGGCACTTACATCTCAGGTTTCTTCTGTTTCCAGGAGAACCTTCAAGGGTGATATTTACCTTTCTTTATCTCTAAACCCGACCCCAGTAAAAAGTAGCCCTGAAAAAATAAGCACTTGACTATACACAGCCTTAGGGTACAAGTCACAATGATTCGTTTACCCAATATTTCACATTAACTTTTTTTTTTGAATAACATTCCTTCACAAGATGTTCCATGTTTTTATGGGGTGAAGGTGATTCTGGGGCTCAAACTCAGGCCCTCATTCATGCATGCTGTCTGTCACTGAGCTAGTCTCTTAGTCCTGATTCTCAATAATTTCGTTGTGGAGCTATTCCCTTTTCCCTCCGTGAACCTTGACTTTCCTTCTGTATTCAATGCAACTTCACTTGCTTGGTCTCCTCAGTAACAGTCTAAGTCATCTGTCTCAGGACTTCGTTCCCTCTCAGTGTATGTGGATAGGAGACTCTCCAGGGAGGAGTCAGGTCTGAACAACTCGGGTGTTTTTGAAGGTTGTGTGAGCTCATTAGGATGCACTTGAGAGGAAAAGACTGCTAACTAAACAAAGTGCCCCCATTTGAGTTGGAAGTCAAGGGTTTCTACATTCTCTTCCCTTCAGATAAACCCTCTTACTATTACAACACATCCTGATACATTTGAAAGTCAGAAGAGACACAGACCACAAAAATTTACTCTAAGAAAATGTTTTTAGGGCTCAAAATCCATGAGTGAACTTTACTTTCTCTTTTTAATTAAAATTTTTATTTCAGAATCTCGTACATGAATATTGTGTTTACATCATTTCCTCTCCACCTTCCACCTGTGACTGTCACTGTGCCAGCATAAGGGCAGGAGGTAACTTCTTCTGATGGAAAGACAGGCTGGTCTGCTTGTGTCAAAGCTATGATGATAATAGATCGACTTATGGCTCTCTCACCCAAGGCAGAAATAAACCTCTGGAATCATAAGCTAAATCAAGTCCTTAAGTACATGATATATGCACAAAATTACTTTTTTAAAATTTAAAATGGTATTGAGTGAACTAAAAATGTTAGATTAAAAGGTTTTAAAAACATGGCTGAATATTATTTTCTTGAAAAATTTAAAGATAAATGTATTTGATTTTTTTCTTCAAAATCAACACTCTTGCTAGTTTTTCCCCAAATGGTAAATCTTGTGAGCTATCATTTTGCTGTGTAGTACAGAAGAAATGTACACAATGGACAGAAACTCATATGTACACGTAATCCAGAATGAGATGAACCTTTTCAGCACAAGAATTATTGGAAAATTTCATAGTTTTATGAGGTTTCTTTGATTATTGTCTGTTTATAGTTTGTTTGAATATACATTATTTATAAATTTATTGTGTCACATAATAAATATTGTAAGACTGCAAAAGTATTTTCTATTTATAAAACTATGTAACAAAGTCAGAGAGATTTAGGTAAATTAAGATGATATTGAATATTAAATGCTTTAGAGAAAATCAAAGGTCTGGCCACACTGAGAGCCTATACTTTCTCAGGTCAGCAATGAGTTATGAGGAGGAGCTCTAAGGGAAGAAATCCTATGCTAGGCAAGGTTCGAATACTTTTAGGCCGCATGACTTTAAGGTGAGCTGGCAAACAGAGGACAAGGAGATTATATACCCCTGTGGTTTTAAGTGGTGGAAACAAATGAGAAGTTTAAAGACGCTAACTAGAACCTGAGGTGGAAATACAGGAAGAACCACCTGCTCTTGAGAGTTCTCACCAGCTGAGCTGTTTAAACACTGACATCTTCACTTTGCACAAATGCCGACATCTACAAGTAATTTTCCTATGGAGGCACAAGAAATAACTACTTATAATATGTGCATTTAAATATGAAACATAATCACCAAAGCATTCAATACTAACCAGTGGATCTAATTTTTAAAAGATCAGACAACTGGGTTCATACTAAAAATTATTTCATTTTCAGCATTAAAGTAAAATTCTCAAAAGCATATTTTGCATATAATCAACTCGGTTTTTAGATTTCAACTTGGAATAACATTTTTACATTATTATCTTGTCTCATATTAAGTTGCTGGTTTGTTCTGAATGTAACTTTATTTATTTATAGTGTGTGTGTGTGTGTGTGTGTGTGTGTGATGTGCTTTACCAACTAGCCTAAGGACAGAAGACTAGCACATGTCCTGTTTACATTTGAATCTTAAGTTCAGCGTGCTTGAAATATTGTAATGTTTAAATGTTGGAAATAGGTGTTAGGAAAAAATGAGTGTACAAAGACCAAGTTATTTACAAAATAAAATACTTGGGAGCTAGACCAAGTAGTATGGCTCCCTCTTTCCCAGTGGGAATTGGAGCGACTACATCTGTCTTGCCAAGAGCAGTTTGGTTTATCTTAATGCAGAGTCCATGTAACACGTCTGTTCTATTGTTTACATTGCTGATTGAAAACTAATATACAGAATATCCAGTCTGAGGTGTCTGTTTCCAGAATAGCTTTTGTATGGTGAAGAATCCTCCCACTGGATTCTAAAATGTACCTGAATGTAAGACCTTTTTATATACACCAATGATAAAAGAGCATTTTTCTTTCAGTTAGCCACAAAATGATCATTTAAGATCATTAAATGCTTAAATGATCATTTCTTTGTGTAAAAGCAGTTATTATATTAGAACATTTAGGAAGAGCTATCTTACTATTATTGAAGCACCCATGGTGATATCCATATCATTTACTTGTATTATGTAGATCCATGCATCACTCATGGCCGCAAGGAATACCTATTCAGTATCAGTTTTGAGAGGATATCACTATCATAGTGGCTATGAACAGAAAGGCAGGACTCATACAAACCTAATTTGGGTTTAGATTTTGATATTTACCATATGTGTGAATATTGTTAAGTTTTAAGTCTTTTGGAGAAAAATAACAGGGACGCCATAGAATTGTTGCAAGTAGTATATTGAATATTTTTAGTAAATAGCTTAGCTTACTTGGTAAATATTTAACATTTCTGCATTTTTATGGCAATGTCAAATAGTAAATATTAAATAGTGGAAGTTTAAACAGTTGCTGGTTGTTACTGTTCATGATGATAACAATAACATCGGTACCAGGAATCAACACAGAGAGTAAGGAGGGAAAAACGATTAGACATCACACCAGTCTCTAAGTATCAGGTAGTCATTGTAATGCTGTGTTAAAATGATGCACAGCGTCATATGAATGAAAATATAAAGGGAGCATAAACAGCCCATTGTGATGCATGATGAAATTTCCAAGGTGGATGTGTGTGGTAAGCATGAGGTCACCATGATTTCTTCACATCTTAGAGACTTGAGAGAGGTATCCAAACCAAGTAGCTTAATTTAAAGATTGGAAGGGATAAAGTAACTAACAGTGAGGAATTGAGAATGGTGAGAATGAAAGAAAGGCAAAGGATGGAAAGAGAAAAAGTAATCAAAAGAAACTCCAGAAAAATTGTGTATGGATGAGGAACAGGCAGGATGCCATTGGTGAGTTTTAAGACTGAAGCACATTTTATTGGATGTGCTCTTTGATACAGTAATCAAAGTAGCTTTATAAAGAAGAAATAAGCAGAGAAAGGCAACACATCAGATTCCAGCAAGTGACTCCAGCAAGTGACTCCAGCAAGATACGGAAGCAGCTTGACGGAGTAGTCACTCTGGGAGGATGGAAGTTGGGACCAGGAACCTGAGAAAGTTTAGAGAATTTGTCTCAGTTTCCACATTTCATTCTTTGCATCTCAAGAAAACACAATCTCATGAACCTAAGACTATGTTTATCTATCAACATAAAACCTATAGAATGAAGAGTGAAGTTAAAATTTCAGATAAAATTGTGGTGCCTTTTTCAGTTAAGAGAGACATGCAGACTCATCAAAATATCCAGGTAGACCTACCATGTTTATTAACCAGAAGTTTTCTTTCGATAGCCAAGAAAATCTATGTTCATATATAAATTTAAGTTCCATTTTTATTCCCATGAGAAAATCTAGACCTGAAACTATTTGTCCAATTTTAAGACCAGCAATATCAGCACTGTATCAGCATTGTATAAAACAACTGAAACTTAAGAAATGCACTATTTAATTATAACACATGTTTATGTAATTTGTTCTTTCAGTAAATGACAGTGGCTACTATAAGTCATGTACTTTGACATATCTTTCAAGCATAGTTGTCAAAATTATGTATTATTTTTAAATGGAAAACCAAAATACTTTTAATTAATTTACACTCAAGTTTGGAATTTTATCTTTTTAATTTGTATCAACTCTAGTGACTGGAAAGTTTGTTTCTCCCTCCCTCGGTCCCTCCCTCCCTCCCTTCTTTCTTTCTTGGTTCCTCTTTCTGTTCTTCCTTCTGTCCCACACACATTCTTGCAGTTGCTATTTGGAAAAGTTCTCCATCACTAAGCTACATTCTGAGTCCCCAGCATTTCTATTTTTAAGTCCCCGTGTCCATAAAAAGAAAATACCTGTGTCTTCAGTGAGTTGCATACACAGTTAAAGAAAAACTTACTGAAAACTCATTTTTCTCTTTGTACATGAGTGAATGCAAGTTTCAGTTTTTAAGGAATGCTCCTTTAAGACTTACCCAAAGGCAGGTTTTACCCACCATTTCAGTAGTAGCAAATGTATCTCTTCTTTCCCTTTGCGTGGTTCAGAATCACTTTCCAAGGCTGTAAGGCAAAACACATCTTTTGCAAAGGTGGTGTGGTTGCTGTCCAGCTAATATTTCTTTTGGAATTTGAGCTTTTGAATACTTTTTCTTTACTAGATGGTAATAAGTTCTGAATAACTAAGATATCATAACTGCCAAAAAAGTAACCTGCATCTACCACAAATTCTTTTAACTCTACCCAAAGCCTTTCATTTTAATCTCAATATTTGGACTTGTCTAACTTTATTTTATATTACTTAGAAGTACAGGGTATTTGGATAAGAAAATAGTAAATATTTGACATAGACCATGATTATTAGAATGTGATATTGAAAAGTCAATTAAAATAAAGGTGGTTTAAAAAGTCAACTCTTACTAGCACTAAGACAATTGTCTGCAAAAGTTTTTAGGAAAAAGACTTCAATACTTTTGTCATTTAAGGTTGCAATGACTCATTCTAACTGTCTTTGTGCATGGACAGAAAAGTATGTAAAAACTATCAACACATGCGTCTTGTATGACAGTGAGGGTGATTCTAGGGTTAATGTAATAAGGAAGGAGATCTTCTCTGAATGTGCTTGGCACTGTTCATAGTCCCGAGACCAACATAATAAAGGAAGAAGTCAGCTGGTACTGGATTTCCCGTCTATGCTTCTTGGCTGGCTTGATGGGAACTGCTCTAAACTTGCCTGTTCCCTGACTGACGAGTGGAGACCTCCGAAATCGAAGCTTCAATAAACTCTTCTTCCCTTATTTTGTTTTTGTCAATGACCACAGAAAAGATAAAAGTAACCACTTTTTTATCTTTTGAAAAGTAACTAACTGGAACCTACATTGCTGTGTGGTATTAGAAAATAGAATTTATCATTTTCCATAATGAGTTGCAAGATACACATTAGCACACAGTTGCATGTGGTGCCTTCTGGGACTAATTGGATATCGTAACATTCTGCTTCCAATGTAGGTATATGAAAACATAAAATAGTAGGAAATTTTTGAGAGTGTAACATTCAGAACATGACAAACAGAAATCAAAGCACTCGTCAAAGGAAAGGACACAGCTTTCACTCTGTTCTAGTCTCACAGACTTGCAGAGGCTTGGGCTTGCTGTCAACCACACTTCTTACATGAAGAAACTGGGGCCTGGCGAGGCCATTATCTTACCAAAGGTCGAACAGTTATAAGGGTAGACTTCAGGTCCCTTTTCAGTCCATGATTTTACAAGTATGCCGTATTCCTAGATAGAGAATAAAAGTCATGTCTCTCTTGATTAATAGATTAAAACAAATGACAATTTCATGTCTAAATAATGAGAAAAAGAAACTTCTTAAAGATAAAATGTAGTCAGGACAGCAAACTAAATCTCTTTTTCATAGAACAAATACAATTCTGAGAAATTTTCTTGAGGAACATAAATGAACCCTTGAAAACAAAAATAGTCCAATGAAGCCGCCTGGTCTGGCAACCCAACTTGTGCTTGACAGCAGGAAGAGGGAGGGTTGTGAGAGGGAACATTACTGGGAAGCCATCCGCACTGGAGCTGGAGAGGCTCAGGATCTGGATCCCATCCACTTGGACGGCCTCGGGGAGCAAGAGCGTTCAGTTCATCTTGCTCTCCTGTATCCTTTGGTTGTTCTCCGAAGCAATGAGCTCCAGCAGGTTCTGTTCTTCTGACTGTTCCTGCTCAGCCACTGCAGCCACCTTGCTTTCTAACCTCCGCCCCTCACAGTGCTTCATGGCTTTGTTTTAATCTCGTTATCCTCTCTTAAGTCATTGGAAACACATTTCCCAGCCCCGTGACTTAAAATGCCTTCTAAACGCTGTTGACAGCGAGTTTTCTAAACCTTGTTCTGTTATCTCCACTGAAATCCAGGCACGTGCAGCCAATTGTTTCTCTCTGTATGTGGCGTAAAGGTCTGGAAATGATAGGGATGTAAGTGGAGATGTACATTTGTGAGACATCCATGAAAATTGATAACCCTGCACAGACAGGAGATACTTCAGGATGCTTTTTATGCCCCAGCTAGAAGTGTGTAAATATAAAATAATTTCAGCACTAACCCATATTATCTTTAAGTTCATTTATTCGCCTATTTATAACATCTAATGATTTTACAATTTTAAAAATCTCTGCCTAGAACTAACACCTGAAGGAAGGGTAGTCCATGGTTAGGATTAATCAGCCAGAGAGTCAAATTGCTTCAAAAATAGCCCTTGGTGATAGATTGAGAAGATGAGCATGGCTAATTTTATTTAAAGCATAGGAGAATCAAGAGTGTGTACTGAAGTCTAGGTTACAACCAGAGGAAAACAGTAGTGAATAAGTAAATGACTAATGATTAAATAAGTGGAAATTGATTTAAGTTCTTAATTACATAATTGCTAGCATGCATTGGTGACATAATACACAATGAATAATACTGACAAATATATTGTAAATGTTTTATTAGTTTATCTATTAGTGGCCCTCATTATCTGCTAGTTGTGGAATCGCGGAGTTGAAGTAGCTAAAATCGTGAACACATGTAAGAAGAGACCTAAAGTCTTAACAACTATTGGGCTTTTTTTCATCAAACTTGTGTCCATTCATGTGCATGTTAGATACAATCTCTTTCCAGTGTCTTGTAACTTAAAGGCTACATATTTAGACATTTGCCATTAGCTGAGTAATTTGTGTATGCAGCAATTGCTTGGTATTTCTGTTAGTGATGGTTTATGAAAGTTGCTTTTAAAAAGTCTACATTGTTATTAAAGAACTTTTGAGGAAATTTTTGCCTAGGAAACTTTCCTTAAAAATAAAGAGTAATATAGAAGTGTATGTGGTTGGCAGGCTATCGAAAGCTACTGGGGTCCAGCCCCTCAATAGCCTTCTAGAGTCCCAAAAGAGACGCTACTGGTAGTGGATTAATCTGAGGGATTCTCTAATGAATCTACATACATGAAACTCTTTAATCCATTCACTTTATTCTTCTGAGTCCGTTCTCTCTCTACACAGCTTCTATTCTGCTCTCTTATTTAGCTCCTTTCTTGCCTGGTTCTCCCTGCATCTTTCTGCCGATCCCTCTAAGTTCTATCTTGATTCCTTCATTTTAGTTCTGCCCATCTTGGTCTTTCTCATCTTGTTCTTACCCACTTAGTTCTTCTCCATCTGGCTCTTCCTCATCTTCCATCTCATTCTTCCAGTTCCTCAGTAATGTTCTCCTCAAGTCTCTAAGGTTTACAGTTACATACCTATGCAATAGCAATGCTCTGGCTAAAGCAAGGTCACTAGGCTTGAATTCCCTCAAGGTCAAAAGGAGAGACAAGACGATCCACACGAAAGAGCAGTAATTGCCAGCCCTCATCTGCAACCCAAAAGGGAAGTGACTAATGAGGAAGAGAATCAACTAAATTCGGTTACTATCTGAAAACGGGGATTTTATGTGCTCAACTACACTCTTAGAAGTGGTTAGTTAAAGAGTCAGGAGTCTATCAGTGATGAGTGAAAATAAAACTGCCTTATTTTCCTTTGGCCCTTTGTCTGTCCAAGCTATGTTGCATTCTGCAGTTTCCTGGCAGAGCAGGGGAGTGAATCAGTGGCTGGGCAGCCTGAGTCAGCTTGATGGACCTGTAAGTAGAAACCCTTTAGTTTTGAGTTAATAGTTAAAGGTAGATTTAAAACTAGAGACAAGACTTTGGAAAGGGAGAAAGTCAAGCTTAATTAGTACATCCACCAGGCCTTTTCAAACAGATAGTCTGGATGCTTAAGTCTGTTCTTAAAGAGTATGGAAGTGATATAACTGGGCAATGGCATCACGGTTAGGATGGATGTCCAATAGAAGAAAGTCATAAGTTGCAGGCATGCCCTTTAAGGGGTATTGGGACTCCGATCTCCTCTACTCTTTTGCTTACTGGCTTCCATATAGTAAATATCTTCGATCCTCCATGAGCTCCCCAACAACTGGGTATTCTACTTTGCCATACATTCAAAAGCAACAGAACCTATTAACCATGGACAGAACATGTTAAAAAACACAGGCTAAAATCAGTCAATCCTTTCTTCCTCCAAGTTGATGAATTCTCATATTTTGTCACAGAGATCCAAAACTAACACACCAATCATGATGTGATCATCCCCACACTCTGAGCCTACAGACACAATCTCTCCAAGTGACTGCAAGCTTTAGGCAATTGAGAAATTTTCTACAGATCTGAAATGACAGCTCACACACCAACCAGCCCTCTGCTTCTCCATGTTTTTGAGAGAAGTGTCTTTGTGGTGGCAGAATGTAAGGAGGGTGCTATGCAGTTTTTGTTTGGATGAGTGAGGTATGTAAATTAAAGGGGAAGTAGAAATGCTCAGGATTAGAGTTTCCTTTCCCAGAGAGAACTAAGGAGGCTGTAAGTTGCAAGAGTCCAGAAGAGTCAGAGAACTGGAATGCCAATTCTGGAAGCAAATACAAGTAATTTTTTAGAACCTCCCACCTCTCCCCTACCTCCCATGCCTCCCCTACCTTTCAACCCACCTCCCACAGACACATCTTACCTCTCACCCCACCCACCCCTCCTCCCACAGACACTTCTTTAAGAATTTTATCTGTATTTTATTAATATACTTTACACTCTTCTCAAGATTAGTAAGGATAAAATCTCCTGATTTCTGTGCTAAAGCTCTACCAAAGACAGAGTTGTAGAGGTTGATGCTCATCTGTCATTCACATTAACTCATAGAACTTGTCAATCACAGGAATGTGTAGAAAGTCACCTTTTCATTTTAAAGTGATGAAAATGCCTGAGAGGTTGGTAGAGTAGGTGCCCACAAAACATTGTGCATGTATAAAAGTCACAGAGTTGTAGGCTGAAAATGATTAATGTTATTGCATATGTATTTTAACCTCAGTAATAAAGATCACTATATAACTATGAACTTGCCATCATGAACTGTCTCTAAATGGTAACAAAAATAAAATAAACCTTTCTCTATATACATGAACGTATTTCTAAGGCACTTCAGAAAACAGTATTTTCCAGTTGACATTTCCCCCAACATAGTGCTTTCAACAGACCCAATCACTGCTCAATTGTAAGCCCAAATCCTCTCCAATGTCTGCCTTAGAGTCTTGAATTGCCTCCTCCAGTTAATTGCTGGGACTGAGAAGCCACTGGAGAGAAGCTTCCTCTTGCAGTTCAAAGTTGGGAAGGTGTTGTCCAGGTGGCTTGATTTATCTGTCCCTGGTCAAAGGGGTTAGGATCTGGTAGATGTGAGAAACAGCTGGCCGGCCTCTGCTGCCTCTGACTTGGGGCACTCAGACAGGTGGGGCAGACTGTTAAAGAGATTGTGTCCCTTCAGGGCTGCTGCTGCTGCTGCTGCAGCTCCTGCTGCTACAGCTGGGGCTTTGTGCAAACTTATGGCTATGGAGCATTAAGCTTCTGAGCAGGCAGGTTGTAATTGCCTCGCCCATCCCCCCTTGCAACAATATAGAAGCTCTTCTCCGGGGAAACTCCGCACATGTGTTGCAGGTAGTAGGGGCTTTAATCAGTCTTTCCACTACTCTCTTTTTCCAAAATCTTTGCTCAGCTGCAGCGATCCTGTATGAGCCCGAGAAGAGCAGCCGAGTAACACGGATTTCATTGAGGATCTCCGTGAACGGCTCTAAGCCACCGGACACAGCCTGCTCTATGAGCAATCGCCTCTTAATGCCTGCGACACTCCCTGACTTCTGGCTCCATGCCTTCCCTGATGGAGATTAAATTATATAACAGATGAAATCTGTCCTACTGAAATATACTTTTTGGCTTGAGGTCTCCTCTCTTGCTTACTTCTAGCATTATTATTTGGGTCCATATTGTTATGAACGGGAAGGATTTGGGAAGAGTGACGTGCTTCACGTAAACTTCAGAAAGTCTATGTTTAAACTTCTTCCTTGAGAAACCCTAGTTTTGCATCTCACAGATTCAGAGATGTGATATTTTGCTGCCCCAATAAAAGGACACAGTAATTTTCTTTAAGGAAACTTGTTGGCATATGACACCATGATATACACAGCTACATATGTCTGGGTGCCCCTAGGGAGGGCACTGGAATGTTTGACAAACCCACACATGTTTTTAGATGTGGAAGTTCATGAACTTTAAAGAGCCAGGTGTCAAATGGTTTTGTTTATATGGTTTGTAAAAATTACTCTATAGTCTAAGATGTAAATAAAATCTAGCTCATCTTAGTTTGTTGAAATATGAATAGGATCAGGTAAACAGTTATTTAATAAATTCTTTTTAAATCATATGTTACAGTCTAAT